TATGTCATCGATGCTGTGATTGAAAGCTATACGCTGTGAAGGGAAAAAAGTTCACTGCATGTACTGAGCTTCATGAGAGTGTCGAAGAATTATTACACCTAACCTCAAGATGATGAAAGTTGAAATTTTTATGTCATTCTATTCTATTCATGTTGCTCAATAAGAATGTACTATCTTTGCCACCTGATATACCTGTCCCGTGTGTTCTTTGAAGTAGTCGAATTGCACTTTTGAGCAGACTTATACTGTCAAAAACTGCTGTCCAATGCTTTTTGACATTCATTGTTCCTTTGACTGATATCGACCTTAGACATAAACCAGTATAAGATAAGCAAATGCGTACAAATTTTAAACAGCTTTGAATACTTTAATACAAGTATATTTCTCTAAAACTCTTGCCAAAAATGCGTTATTCACTAAGAATTTTAATTGACAAACCTTAGAAAAAGTGTTTCGCTACTCATAGTGACTTCTTTATGCGTCAAATGCATTAATGTTATCGTTATAGTGTAGAGTAAGATTGGTATGATTGTCATAAAAAGCCCTAATTTCTTGAAGCTTTTTATAACCAATCATTTTGTATTGAAGTTTCAACCGGAAGGACATGAATCAACGTGTAAATATCAGATCTGTTGAAGAGACAAAAATCAATGGAATATTCTAATCTACAAAGGCCTGGAAATAGCCGAGGCCGGTGCAAATATATTTAAACCCTTGTATTTTGTATACATCTTTTAAGTTGCAATACACTTTCTTGTATATTACCATCTTTTCCATTATTGAGAAAATGAGTGGCCATCAAGGAGGGAAATCTGAAAGTTATTAGTCAAGCGTCCACACTTATAAATATATATATATATATATATATATCCCAGGTTTCATCAAGTATTTATCACAAGGATATGATAAGTGACGACAAAGATACAACACTTATGAATCGAAATTACAGAAAACACTGTTCTCTGTGCTAGGTCCATTACCAAGAGACCCTTGACAGAAATGTCGTACTTTTTAGCTTCCGGCAGCAAGAAGTGTAAGAAATTTGATAAAAGTCGATGTTTTCTTGGAAGGACGAATCCTGACCACCCAGTACTTAAGTAAGAAATGTTACCCATAAAGTATTTGAGTGATGACTGACCTCGTGTAGGACTATATAATGTGCATTGATGGGTCACTGAAAACATTCACTTGTGTTCTACGCAGTCTTAGGTGATCACTGAGTTCTCTTAACTTTTTGTTAGTCATGATGCGAAATGTCTCAATATGGTCACTTTTATCACTCAGTCGACATTTTAGACTATGGGTGATCTCCAGAGACCGATCAATACGCAAAATAATATGCATTTCCCTTGCAGTAACTGTTAATGCTTGTGCTATTATTTATGAATAGCCTAACATTTCAGTTTAGTAAATAAGTCTAGCACCTAGACGGACATTTATCCGAAGTAATCGCACCAAAACTGACGTAAATAAGGTCATTAATAAATGTACCCACCATAAACTGCTAAAATCAGAAACAGATAAAGTACACGTATCGGCTGAACGTATTTTCTAGGTGCAATCAATAAGATTACAAAAGCACTGATTAAATGAATTATACATTCAGATGTTATGCTTATGCTCATTTACTTTATATATATATATATATATATATATATATATTTGCAAACTTACACACAGGAAGACATAAAGAAGCATGGTCACATTAACTTCAGTCGAGTTGATAAATTAGTTCTCCTTGATTCGTTACGCATGCAATCTGAAGGTGCATGAAATGCATTAGATTTGAGTGAAACCTTAAAATAAAGCCACTCAGTCAGTGACCTATTTTCCTATCATAAAGAAATTTGAGCAACTCATTTGAAAGTTTGTACTCTTGCCGGAATTTAGATCAGTACAAACTGGTCTACTATACATGACCTCACCTAGGACTGATGTTTGTATACCAGCAAATTTCTACTCTGTTATTGATTTTATTCGAAGAAGATTAGCTGAAGTATATGTTATCACCACTACTCAGTATTCTATTTAAAATTTCAAGACCAAACATCGTAGTGTCATACAATTGCAAACATTATCACATTGTACTGATACCTAGTCAGCAATAAAGACAGGATAACTTTAAGTAAACTCTCTCTCTTGATCTCTAATTCATCCACATATGCAGCCATACTGAATAGTTAGCAAGTCGGATAGTCAATCAAACTAAACTGAATTCTTTTAACTGGTAATGACTAAAATTCTTTTGAGTATATCGACTTCTGGTTTCTGTAGGTAAATTTATCATTCATATATTATTGTGTATATGCATACAAATCGATGAAAATGATTCCCACCTTATATAATTTATGATATGGAAGAAAATCATAAGCAATAGATAAGAGAGAATAAGTGTGTCACTTATGTTTTTACTCCTTTTCCCTTCTTCTCTTTACTTCTCTCTATCTCTTCCTCTCTTCTGCTGATAATTTTCCATTGACTGACATCGGATCATGATAAAGTATGTCTTTAAAAAGTATTATTCAACTTCCGAAATCATAAAAATTAACTTGAATAAAGACAGTATTTAATTCTAACTAAGAATTAATTTGATCCAAATATACATATTTAAAATTATTATTTTACCTAATAAAAATTTTTTAATTGAAGACATTTTCACATATTACAAAAATGTGATTCACTGTATACATGCATAATTATGCATAGAAGAACTAAATAAGAAACGTTCATTTGCCCTATTGAACACTAGACGATTTTTGTGTTATAATAAACCTAAGACTGCTTAGACCAGAGATTACCTTTTAAACTTTTCCAAGAGATCGGTAGAGGTGTCACGGGTAATACCGTATCAAACTGAAAATAAGCACAGTATCATGGTGACAGCATAGAGAGGTTTTGGTATTCAAAACATGGAAGCACTAGATAGTTGTCTCGCTCTAGTATGGGACTTTTCGACAATGTGCATCCATGACTACATCAGGGATCGAACCCCGGGCCCTTTGATTACGCGACGAGCAGATCACTATTGGTCAATGATTACGTACTACTGAGAACTGCCATAGTAAGACGGAACAGCTGTCTAGTGTTCACAAGTTCGCAATGGTTCCTTAACTGGCATCAATCCGTGATAAATACCAACTTGATATCAATCAATAAATCCATACGAACCTTTCAAGATTAAGCTGTTGTCGAGTACTTATCAGCAGCTTACTACTACCAAGTTTTCAATGAAAAGTCGTGTCCGGTGGGGCACAAAAAGTCGGAAGTGAGAGTAAGTACTCAACAAAAGCACATGATAGAGATCACCCTATATCGTAAACTGAGAGAAATTGGAAACTGCGAACCACTGAAACCCAAACCATTGGCTGAATAGTTAACGTGCTAGTTGGGAAACCTGAAGTTCCTGAATTCGATCCGTAGCGAGGTCATAAGTGAGAACTACCAATACCAACTTACAATAAGTAAATCCACAAACCTCCAAAGTTGAGTAATTGGAATCCTATGCCACTGAAATGTGATTCACCAGACTGCTACTAATATCTACAATTCTGTATACTTTCTCTTTATAGTGAATATTGTTTACTTAATTCATAGACAAAAAGCTTAGTGAACCAACAAGATGTTTGTCACAGTGAACATTGAACAATCATCAAAATTAAATTGAACGAAAAAAATTTTGAATATTTTACGTTTCCTTTATTCATATTTGCATAATACACAAATATAATTAATCATAGGGATGGTAAAGTCAAAAATGCCTTTTCAATAAGCCAAACCATAGGAAATGAACCTAATTTCTCACTTTAAAGTATCACTTTCTATCAGAAACGGTGAAAAATTGGTTGTCAGTTGAGTTTCTGCATATCCAGTTATTATTTAATTTCATAACATATATATATATATATATATTCAACAGTGATAAATAATTTATATCACCATAAATCAATAAGTAGTATATGCGTACATGTATATATCATAAATGCGTTATTTTATGTGTGTTTTCTGATAGCTAACGGATGAATCGATGACTTCAATAGTTTGAAATACTACAAATCAATAATTCATTAGGCTATTGTAATTTATAGCTAATTTGGATTATTTGCGATGACTTATATGATTGTTATTAGATAGAAAGCTACTGAATAGTCAGGACGTTAAACAGCTGATTGTCCTTGTCTAAAATATTTGAGTAGTCTACACCCAATGCTTCATAAACAAATGCAAATGACATCCATTAAATGTCAGTCTGGTCATATTATTATTTAGTAACAGAAGTAAAACCTGCTGATGGACATTACTTAATCCATATTGGCTCATAATTTCACCAATGGTCATCATTTTTGAATTTGTTTCTACTTCAGATCATTGATGCGAACCGTTAAAAGAGCTAAAAACAACGACCATTAAAGCTGTCTAGCTTTCACTGGTTCTTAATTAAATGTTAATTGATGGTCAAATGCTACTGCATTTCATTATGCTTGCCTAATCGACTATTTGCTGAGGAACAGACTGCTTGATCCGTCACCTAATGACGACGGACATATGTGCACAATCCATTTCTATGATGGCTCAGTAGTAGCCTAAACGGTTTAGTAGCAAGTTACCTGACATCAATACTAAACGATGCAAGCTCGAGTCACTGAGGGAACATCAATTTCCTGATAGTTGTTGACATGCTTTGCTGATGAGGGTTAAAAACCATGAAATCGATGTCAAGCAGGGCTGGCTACCTGTCAACTGTCTCCCATCACCTAAAACACTTCACTTTGTTGACGAAATAAATCGATCGTCACCTGAAAAATATGTAGAACCCCACCGTAACTTCTATTACTCATGAAGGGTAGATTTTAAATTCTTTCCATCCAAGTTCAATTTACAATTATCGTCTGACATTGTTCAGTAAATTTCAAACCAGCAATAATTTACTATCTAGAAACAGCTAAATGTGCTACAAGATTTTTTTTAAATTTACCAAGAGCCTATAACAGAATAAAACTCACCTTCACGACTATAGTAGGCATTATCATTCCATAGTATCATATTCCAGTGAATAGACTCCATGTTTAAACATGTTTTAGCCATATGATATAGATGACCATTTCCTCTGTGCAAACCATCTGAATAATGAAATCCTATCGGAGTTCTGTTTAGCCTTTCTCCATTTTTACTGATATTCCAATCATTATGACTGTTAAACTGATCGCTCACTAGATAAGTTGCGCTACTTTTTCTCTTTTCAGTAGTATAACGACTATCTGTTAGGATTTTCTTAAACAGATATCGAGATTTTATTATTTCATCATGATTTAGGCTAAAAATATTCTTTCCATCAGATATATTATATAAATCAATGGATATAAATATTCCTGTACAAAGTATTAACAGGGTCAATGTTAAATTACGCCACAGTACCCAATTTTCATAATGTTGACGATGTATAAGGCTGATTTCTGCTATATCCTCTGATAAATTTGAGATAGCCATTTTATCCCAGCTTTAATGCTCTATTCTACTAACTATTGCATCAGATTGTCTTTTTTCAATGCACTCCAGGAGGTCTGCATTTCTTTCGCAGTTGTTTGTTTAATTTCTGAATATCAAGCGATATCATCTCGAAGATTGCTTGAGTTATTTTATATTTTTAATGATCACTTTTTTATTCAGTATGCATTTACTCTTTGTTTCAGCTGTATACATATGCAATTAAGCAAGCAGCTTCTCGTTAAATTTCCCACACTCGATTATGTTTAAGGAATAATAGTTTAACCCTGAGCGAAAAATGGAATACGATGTAAATTTTGTGGATGAAATATGCAACCAACCAATTAACTAACGTCGTTATTCAGAAGCTGACTAATTATTATGAGTATGATTACGACTACATGTTATCCAGTAATATTATTATTTTGTGTATCCTGATTGGTCAATTAGCATGACCAATGAGGAAAGAGAAAAAGGATAGAATTACCGCTACAAGTTTGGTGGTAATTTAAGGTTTTCAAAAAGCAGTAAGTTGAAGTGTTTGGCAGTTTTTAAAAATGCATTAAAAAGTAACAAAAATTAATTAAATTTTTATTATCATAGGAATCATGATTTGTCAACGTGGCTGTGCAAAATGTCACTCGTGTCAAAACTCCTATTACCTGTATTCAGGTCTTCTCTATTTCTAAACGCCTATCCCATCGATTATGTTAAGCTTCTCAAACAATGGGTCTGCCTCCGATTGAATGGCGCTATCAAGTAAATTTATTCTTTTCCACAGAGGTCGGAGAAAATACCAAGAGTACCTTTGCAGAGTGATAACGATTTTCCACAAATGAATAACGTACAACGATGGCATCGTCTAAAATGCATGAGTAATACACAACGTCATATGTTGTCTGATATTTATAATTTGCAGTTCTTATAAAGGACTGAATTGTTCAGCCTCTATTAGCAGATCGGCTCCTATACGGATGCATTGATACTACCGGAGATTCATGATGTTATAAGCATCATGACGACTAGCTATGGAATCCGGAACCCGCGTTCCGCCTTATTACGAGTACCAAATAACAACTGGTACTTGTTATGCAAGAGGTAGCTATCCTGCCCCAGTGGCTAAGTGAATACCTCTTTGGCGTTTGAAGCGTTAGGTAAAACGTTCAAGTCTCACTGGGAACACTGCACTCATTGGGGTACGGGTATACTCAGCTCATGAGTCCCAAATAAGACGAAACGCATGTTCTGGGTTCCATTGCTTCTCAACAAAATGATTAGACAGTGTCATATACATCATTTGGGCTGTTCTAACTTGTTATAGAAAAATTCCTGTCAAGGCGTTTCAAAAATTTGATGCTAGACAGTATATCTATGCTGCCGTTGGTTTTCAGATGACAAACATGCAGACGAAAACAAATTGAAAAACCTAGATGGATTGAAATTTTCATGCATTAAACTCTTTATTCGATTGTCAGAAATATTTAGCAGGTTAATTTTCATTAGCCAACTGAAATAAAATAATGTACTCGGGTGATAAACTGAAACGATTGGTGTATGTTACCCAAGAATTCCTACAAGAAATCTAGCACCACTAGTAGTGGAAGAGAAAGACTAGAAATATTGAATCTAGTTCAAAGTAAGTTGTTCTTAAAATAGCATTGGATAATTCAGTGAAATCTTCGTTTTCAGTGAATCGTTTTCAGGAACCGTATACTCGTATTTATACTCACAACTAAAGTATGTATCCATGAGTGACCGAAAGCTTATACACAGTAGTTACAAAGTGATTACTTGACAACCTGTGAACTGACAGAACAGGTAGGGAAGTGGGACATTCTCACTGAAATCAACGATTGCAAAGTAATGAAAGGGGATGAAAATAATGGTGTGGGTAGGCTAAATAAAATAAATAAATAGAATAATGAATAATGACCAATAGGTCTTGCAGAGACTATGACCAAGCAAAAACTAGAGAATGAACTTATTGGTTTTGAACACTGAGATCAGGCTTCTGCTCATAAGTTGTCAAGGCTTCTTTTGTGTTTATGTGCCAAGTTCACACTCCTTATGAAATGTTTTGTTTAATTATATTGGTCACACAAAGTGTTCTATACAAGTGCATCTACAAATACTATCCTGTATGGTTGTCTAAACAACAATAAAATTTGACTAACGGTTCTGTTCTTGAGCATGTAGTTAAGCCTAGTCACTCTACTCCCCCCAGGATATTCATTCAGACACTTCGAAGAGAGAGTAGACACGACATCTGAAAACGCAACTCACCAACTCAAGCTCGACCTCTGTGTTCAAAACTAATGCGTTCATTCTCTAATTTTTCCTTGATCATAATCTCCACAAGACCTATTGTACATCATTCATTATTCTGTTTATTTATTGATTGTATTTCATCTATCAGCACCATTATTTACATCACCTTTCTTTACTTTGTAATCACCTATTTCAGTAGAACTGCCCCACTTCCCCACCTGTTCTGTCACTTCACAGATTGTTAAGTAATCACCTTGTAACTGTGATGCATCAACATTTCAGCTACTGATGAACATATACTTTTGTCATGGGTATAAATACGAGTGTACGATTCCTGAAAATGATTCATCGAAAAGAGAATTTTCTTCACTGCTATATCCTTTAATAAATTCAAAGGAAATACCCTAAACGTTTAGGGTGTCAAAAATTTCAAGGATAATCAAAACAGGATTAAGGAAATCAGTTGCCACAACTTTTCTTGTTATAAATTTATTTCTACCGTACGAAACGATACCAATGCAATGAAACGTTGATAAGCTCTATACTTACACTGTACCACAGTCTCTCAATACCTGACTGGACAGAGACCAAGTGGTCGGTGTATTGTTCACTGAGGCTATCCACACCCAAACCCTGAAATATAAATATTTTCTCCATATAACTTTTGCCTTAACCTTGATTGCACCATCTATCATAAAATCTAATTTGTTCATATTCTTGTCGATTTTTACCTAAATGATTACAATGCTGTATTTTACACATTTTTCTTCCTAACTTGTTTCTTTTATAACGTAATTAGTCGCTTATACTAGGTGATGACTGAAGGTGAAATGAAAACTTGAACCGCGACCGAACTCGAATCAGTGTCCAACGAGTTTACAGCTTGTTGTTGTACTAACTGAGCTACGAAATTCGACTGCCGACCAAGTTTTTATTTCCCTTTCAGGCCGAAAACTCCGTGGTCGTTAGTTTGAATCTAGCTGCGGTCCAGATTTTCATTTTTTCTTTAGTCGTAACTCAGCATAAATACTAGTCTGCCAAACTACTGCTATCTCAGATAGTCAAGTGGTAAGTAGTCATGTAGTTCATTAATTAAATCATTTGTCGATTTTCAAGATATCTTAACTGCTCAGCGTCAACAACTGTTTCACTGTACTTGTCATTTTGACTTTGGGCTACAATAAATTATTATTTTATGATTATTTATTACTTGGGTTCCTAGTGGAATATAAATAAACTGCAGTAGTACGTATCCATTCCACTCTGTTCTCTGAAGTCTTTTCAACTTGGCTCCATCACCGCCCACAAGCTTTCATTTCTTCCCCACACCATCTCCTCTATGTGACCCTCAGCTGGGACGTCCAAATCGCCGTTTCTCATTTGGGTTCCATGAGAGTGCCTGGCCTGACGCATGATGTCCCCGAATGGTCTTCTAAGTGTATGCCCAATCCATCTCCACTTCCTACTGCATATTTGTTAAGTGATAGGTTCTTGGTTGGTTCGTTGCCAGCCAGCCAGAGTTCCTTGTTGCCTGTTCTTTCTGTTCTCGCCATCTGTTCTTCAGTATCAAGTGAGCGTAGGTTGGAGCTGTTGATGAATGTCTGTAGTTTGTTGGAAATGCTTTTCGTAACGTTCCAAGTTTCTCAACCATCACATAGAAGCACTGACTTGACTGACTTAGCGTTGAAAATCCGGATATTGTTCACGCTTTGTGCTGAGTGCAGTAGATCTCCACACTTGTTTCAGTTTAATGAAGGCCTGTCTAGTTATCTTTCCGATTCTGGCTATGACGTCCTCATCTCTGCCGCCCCCTGTAGTTGAAACGATGCTGCCTGCCGAGGTAAGTGAAAGAGGCTACTTCTTTTAGGTTTATCATGTTGGTGGTGAATGGAACTTGTTGTTGGTGGTGGTAGTGTAGGTTGGGTATCATCATCACCTCCGTCGTCTCTACGTTCACTTGAAGTCCCGTCTTCGTGGCCTTGCCTCTCCTGTCAACTTGTTGATTTTTGCCTATAGAACTCCAATATTTAAAACGACTGATAGAAAGGTAGGCAACCTTCACATTTTAATTTATTTGTTTTAATAATTCAGGTTGTAAACGACTGACATAAAAATGATCAGATGGAAAGGATTCATGTTAATCTGCTTAACATTGTTGTGCTAACCATTCTCATAAATAAATCTCATCAAAAATTCTGTTCTGTTGATAGATTAAAAAACCGTCAACTGTAGGCATATTAACGTTTTTTGGAATACAAACACATCTAAAATCATGCTAATGTTTTTGGCAATCCACTCTAGGCGAAGTGTACACTCTCTGAGAAAATGTTTGCATCTACTCTCTTCATCTCTACACCTTACCTACTTCACATTAGGATGGTTACTGTGAAAATTTGACTCTGTGAATCAAATTTCCCCAGGTAAGTGGCTGATGAGCTCCCATCCGATTGAGCAAAATGAACAAGTGGTCCTTTAATCATTCTTGTCTGAGTAGCAAAATCCACAGATCTGCCTGCGGGCTTTCTGACTACTCAAGGTGTTCAATGGTCAACCTTTTCAAAACACTTTGGAGATAATCTTACTCATTTTGGCGGTTTGTGCGGTTTGATTGATTGACGTAAAGGTGGCATTTATCATATAATAATATCAGCAGGAAAACTACTGAGAATTAGAGAGTATTAAACAGTTCTTTCGACCAAGTATGTTTTTGGATGATATCTTGCTTACATATTGGATGTTTATCCGTTACCCTTCGTTAATAAAAATGCTGTTTGACCCTGTATGGCCTAAGTTGGCTGTCTACTAAGATCTCGTTCATTAACTTTAGTAAAGTTTCCATTGAACAGTATTCCGTACGAAAGCAATTTATTCAGAGCGTTTCTTATGTGTACGACCACAAGCATTTCCCAGCATTCTGTTACGTTTAGTGCATTTTAACCTTCAGCGCTATGGATTTTAAGTCATTGACAACTTTTGTTTGATTCATACTTGTAAAACACTAGTTCGATTTGCTGGATTTCTTAATTCACCCACTTGATCAGAATTCTGGGGTCTACAGTCTCGTCAGCCTCACACTATATATTACTGTATAGTACTCAGTGCTGATATG